CTGGCCTATTTCCTGTTTGATTCTCTAGACACTGTTCAAGAAGGACATTGGGACAAGCCAGACTGTCTAGAAGAGCTTTTGTAATAGAACAGTATCTAAGCTATCCCAACAGTGGGAACAATCAAAATCTAAAAATTACAGGAGCCCGACTGTTCTGAATTAGACTTGAAGTTTTGGTTTAGTACTTCTCTTTTAATCTTTTGCTTGGAAATAATTTCAAACTTACAGAAAGGGTTGTAAGAACACTACAAAGAACTCCTTACTGTCTACCTTTTACTCATATTCATCTGTTAACATTTTGCTCCATATGCTTTATTGTTTTTTCTTTTTCTCATTAAATTAGTTGAGAGAAAGTTGCATACATCATGGCCCTTTATTCCTAATATGTAGTCACAGTACATTTATCAACTTTAGTAAATTTAACATTGTAATACAGACAGTAAAGTTTGTAACAGTGCTGTTAATTGATCCAATAATAGCGTTTTTTCCCTCTTTGGTATAGGATTCAGTCAGGGATCATCTGTTGCACTCAGTTGTCAAGTCTCTTTTCATCTGGAACATGTCCTCAGCCTTTCTTTGTTTTTATGACATTAACATGTTTGGAAATCATAATTTCTTTTAGTGAGAAAATAATAGTTGACAATCTGTCAAGCACTTACTAGGAGCTTAAGTACTTTACATAGACTATTTCAGTTAATCTTCACAACAATTCTATGAGGTAGATACTATTATTAGCCCCATTTTACAAATAGCTAAGTTCCCTCTCTCTAGTCAGTAAATACCAAGAGTCAGGATCAAGAACCCAGTCCACCTGATTCCAGAGCCAGTGTTCTTACTGCTTCGTGGACAGGTACCTTGTCACTGGTAGATCTTTCTAATCCTGAATCTGTGCTGGACCATTTGCAGATGAGTTTGCTATGAAAAGGAAATAAAGAAGTAAAGTTGGTAGTGTGGACACAGGCTAAGGAGTCAACTAGCAAATTAAAAAAACCCATTTCCCTTCTATCTGTCGTGGGACACAGAACTATCCCCTTTGGGATCCCTGTACATTTCCTCATCTCTAAAATGTCAATGATCATATTGCCATTCATTCAACAATAAATGTTTAAGTGTCAGCTGCATCCCAGTCGTTGGTCTTGGAAGAAATTATATAATATTGAACTTAATTAAATGAGAAAGAATGTAGTAAGAATGTGATTATTCTCCTTGAATAAGGAGACCCACTGTGTGTTGGAGGCTTTGCTTGGAGTTATCCACTGTTTTCACCTTTGACTTTATCTTTGGCCAGTAGTAAATCCTCCAGGTAGGATGAGATGTGGTGTTTCTTAAAAGTTGTGTGGTTTGCTTGTGATTGGCAGTGGTGAAAGTTAAGTGGGTCTAAGTTTGTCAGTATGAGAAGCATTACCTTTCTTAAAGAAATAGACTGGTTTTATTATCACTATTCTAAGAGAGAATCCAAAATAGTTTTTAAAGCCATCTAGTTACCCTCAATGCCTTTTGAGTCAAGTAGCTTTGTCCCCAGATGACTTATATGGAAACCCGAGACCAAGAAAAGTAAGAACAGATGTGAATGAGCTTGCAGAAGACCATTTGCACTGGAATGGGCCTTTTGCTTTCAGCTTTAGTATCTCAGACAAGTGCAAGAGCTCTGTCGTAGGTTAACTAGCAGTCTTGTTTATCTGTAGGGGAATATGCTTTTATCATCTTGGGATAAAACAGTTCTCCCTTCTAGAGTTTTTAATGCCTGAAATGATAATAACAAGAAAAAATGCAAATAATACTAATAATAGCAATCATCTATATCCTGTTTTTTTCTGTCAGATACTGTTCCAAACACTCTACATATATTGACTAAATGTTGTCCCACACCAACCCTATGCACTGGGTATTATTAGTATGCCTGGAGGAGGAAACAGGCAATTTCCTTATAGAATAATAATGGGCATTTGGGCTTCAAAGGAAAGTTTCTCCTTGGATGCACTAAAGCCCAGTTGTGCTATGGAGGCTTCTACCATCCAAACAAGAGTGTCTAAACATTTTGAAGCTTTCACATTTTCTGTTGCATTCCCTGTGCCAGAAACTCTACTTCCAGTGAATTTTTGGAAGGAAGCATAGTTACACATTATTAAGTATGTCTGCTATGAGCACATTTAATTTCTCAGAACTTCTAGTGAAGCCTCATGGAACTCTGGGTTTATAGAATTTTAGCAATTCCTAGCTGAAAGGGACCTTATAGCTGGCCCAACCTGCTCAGAAAAATGAGGTGAAGCGAGCCGATGTGATGTACATAAAGTCACATAGCAAATTAATGACAGATTCAGGCCTCAGACTCTAGCCTTCTAACTCCTAACCTACATCTTTTTATTTTTAAATCTTTGTACTTTGCTGCCTTATTAAACACAATTAAGGAACCTACAAAGTGTGCTGTTCAGCTGGAGTAGAAAAATGAAATGGACAGTTATAACTATTAACCTAGTTCATAAATTCCAATGGATGAAAGCTTTTATTCACCTTTACTTGGAAAAACAGCCAAAGTGAAGAAAAATTAAGAGCAGAGCATACAGAGCACAGTTGTTATGGTGGAATGATGGGAAAAAAATAATAAAATGGAAACAAAGTTTAAAATATTCAAATAAGAGTGTGATCAGAACCAGGGAATATTGAGTCTTAAACCTAATAAAGTAGGTTTAAGTGGTAGGTCCTCTGCTCCAGAGCATTAACTTTGGCAGTACCAGGCCTGTAAGTGTGTACTGATTTCAGTTTGCGAATGTTCTGGTTGAAGCTGTACCAAATGGGATTCAGTGATTCCGATTCAGCTGGCACTAAATGAATACTTGTCACATACTTGACACTGGCAATGGACAAGACACAGTCCCTGCCTTATTAAGGAGAGTCAGAAGTAGCCATGGGAAGGAAAAACTGTACAAGGGACTCAGCTCTATGGTGGGGATATAGGACATGTGCTGCAGATGTAGAAAGAAGAGTGTCATTCACTCTGGCCAGGGAGTAAAGGCTTCCTGAGGAAGGTAGCATTTTCAAGAAATGCCATCAGTGGATGTAAAATGTTGGCAAAGAGAGAGAGAGAAATCTAGACGGAAGAGTAAGTATTCCATTTAGGATTGGGGTTTGATGGAAGTGAAAGAGTTAGAGCAGACCCTTTTCTTCTGTCCTCTGTTCCCTTCCCCTCAGCAGATGGGAGTTAAAGCTCAAGTAGAAACTAGTTTGCATGTGATGAAGGAGGTTATTTCCCCACTGAGGTTGCAGGGGTTCAGGGCTATTTTATATATAGCCTGTGTGGTTGGCTTGGGAGTCTAGGACAAGGCAGACCTCTCTGCGTGGTAGCTTCCTGGCAGCTTCACTGGATTCCTTGCAAAGGCAGCCTCTGAGTTAGTGGTTTTCTGTTTATGAAAGTGGTAGGCCCAGGAAGGTGTACCATTGGCAGGACTGAAGAGGGTTGTTTAGGTGAGGCCAGGGGCAAATGCCCTTAGGCATTTACCTTTAATTAAAGTCCCTCTGAGGTTCATCCTTGTCTCTGTTACCACCCAATGGATAAAAAATGGCACCATTTCTCTCAACAAAGGCTAGATTCCCCCATAGTCTCACCTGGTCTCTCCTTTCTTGTGCTTCCCCAGCAATGCCTTGTTTCTCCTTTTCTCATCTTCTAGCCTCCAGCACACACAGTTGTAGGTAACTAGACTTGAGACCCATGAGAGTAGGGCGCTGTCTCTTTTGTTCACTGTTAACCTTTCCTGGTGCTGCTGCATAGTAGGCACTCAATAAATATGAAAGGAATCATTGAAAAAACTGTGCAAGATTTCCAGACATACTATGCGTGGCTGTGTTTTCAAGTTTTTGTAGCTTTAAAAGCTCTGTATACCTCATTGCATGGGCTGGTTCAGGTTTAAAGAGATTCAGTGAACCCTTACTATCATTATTGTCTATTCGGGACTTGAGGTGCCTTCCTCCTCGGGGCCAGGTTCCCCTTAGTGTCAGCTGACACCATACATATCAGAGCCAGCTCCCTCCTGGGCCTTGGCTGAGGCTCCTGGGCTCAGGCTGGGGCATCCTGTGTGCCCAGGATCTCCTTTCTAGGGGGTGACTGGGCCCAAGTGCCCTGCTCTTACCTGAGAGGCAGTCTGATGTCCCAGATACAGCACTGGCTGTAGATAGAGTCGAGGGACTGGTTTTATGGCATGGTAAGTCCCCTCGTCCCTCAGAGGCTGTCTCCTTCACTCATGAATCAGGATCTTTGGTGCCTGTTCATCGGGTAGTAGTGGGTACCAAGTCAGCTGTCAAGTGCAAACCCAGGGTCAGGCTCTAGTCTTTATATCATGGCAGTTCACAGGAAAATGGAGAAGAACCTGAAGACTTGCCAGTCAGAGATTTTAGTCTTCTCCTTTCCCCAAGAGGCTCACAAGGAACTAAAGAGGCTGATTTCAAAAATAGTTTATTTAAAACAAAGCCATAGGAACAGTAATAATAACTAACATTTGAGTGCTAAGCACTTTAATAAGGTTAATCCTATTTAATCTTCAAGCAACTCTGTAAGTTTAGTCTTTCAGCCCAGTTTTACTCGAGGTGGGTGGGTTAGTGACTTTCCCAAGGTCACATGGCAAAGACAGCATGAGCTTCTAACCTAGGCAGTCCAGCCTCAGGGCCCCACTCTCTTACCCTTACTTTCCATGTTTTAGAAACCCAGGAAGAGAGAGACTGTGTGTCTTCTGCTCATTTTTAAAGGATCTGTTATTGCTGAGAGCTGTTCCACATTCACACTGTGTATGTCCTGAGCAAGTTCACACTTAGGGCTCTGGAGTCTCTTTTCTGGAACGCAGTCTTGAAGGTCTGGTAATAGCCTGGCTGCTATGGGAAAGACGAGGTTATCTTCTGGGGCCTTTCAACTCTGTGACCCCTGTGGGCAAAACTGTCTACACTGGAAGAAGCATCTGCGATGCTGGTGGAAGTACCACAGAGCGTTGATGCAGGTCTGTTTGTCTATGCAGGCACTATCTCTTTGCCCACACTTGAGTGACACAAGATGCCCTTCAATGGTGAGAAGCAGTGTGTGGGCGAGGACCAGCCAAGCGATTCAGACTCTTCCCAGTTTTCCGAAAGCATGGCTTCACTCAGTGACTATGAGTGCTCCAGGCAGAGCTTTACAAGCGACTCTTCCAGCAAATCCAGCTCTCCTGCTTGTAAGCTGACAGGGGAGCAGACGTTGGGGGGGGCGGGGCGGGGGGCTGTTGGTTCTAGACATGTGTGTTAGATTTGAAAACTCATAAATGAATGAGAGCAGAGTAGAGACTCCCCCTCCTTTCTAGATGTACCGTAATAGCACTGCAAGGGCAGGAGTAAGTGGCCACTAAAGGTATACAACCTGCCCATTTTTATTTTCATTACTGTCTCTGATCTGTTTTGGTATGATTATAAATCAGGTTCCCAAACCCAACCTGTCTTTTCTCTCGAGTAGTGGAAAGCCACTCCCTCTTGAGATCACTTCTTGGGTGACATTCAAGGATAAGTTCAAATTGGTCTTTTCTTTTTTTTTTTTAAATTTTTTTTTTTTTAAGATTTTATTTATTTATTCATGGGAGACAGAGAGAGAGAGAGGCAGAGGGAGAAGCAGGCTCCCAAGGAGCAGAGAGCCCGATTCAGGACTCGATCCCAGGACCCTGGGATCATGACCTGAGCCGAAGGCAGACGCTTAACCATCTGAGCCACCCAGGCGCCCTCAAATTGGTCTTTTCTGATAATTGCTGATTTACATGGAAGGAAACTTGCCCCAATTCAAGGGACAGGCAGGAAGTGAAATAATGTAAAGGGCTTCCTGCTGATTTCAAAACCTGTTGTGCAAATCACCCCACAAAAGTGCCCACGAGGAGAATTACTACACTAGGGGTGTGAGAAAGTTAAAAAAGTGGCCATAGTGGGGAGATATCTTTTCGCTTGAGTATGGAAGCTAGAGGTGTGTAGAGCAAGTGTGTTTGTCTTTTTTTAGCTTTTTAATTGACATTTTGCATAGGAAATATAACACCTTAAACAGACAAAGCAAATGCAGAAAGAAGCAACTAATGTCTAATATAATCAAATGCCCACTTCAAAAACGTTTGTTCATTTGTGTTTATTTTAAATTTATACCGTCTCATTTTTAAAAATTTGGAAAGTACATAAGTATAAAGAAAAGAAAATTTTGCCCATGGTATCACCCAAAGATGACAGCTGGTGGCACTTTGTCATATTCATTCTTCACATAGACATATGTGTGTGTATATATGTGTAGACTCTTTTCACTTAGAATTATAACTAAAACATGGGGTGCCTGGGTGGCTCAGTCATTTAAGCGTCCAACCCTTGATTTCAGCTCAGGTCATGATCTCAGGATCCTGGGATCGAGCCCCACATTGGGCTCCATGCTCAGCAGGGAGTCTGCTTCTGGATTCTCTCTCTCCCTCTGCCCCTCCCCCCTCTCAAATAAATAAACAGATCTTAAAAAAAATAATTATAACTAAAACATTTACAGATGATATAACATACTTTTAATACACTAAAACTACTTCATCAAATGAATATACCATAAATTTATTTAACCATTGATTTATCATTGGACAGTGAGTTAATTTCCTCTTTTTTTTTTTTTTGCTGTTACAAATAGTGCTTTATGAACATCTTGGTGCATTAAGCCTTTCCAGGAATTCCTTTGGATATAATTGGATTATTGGACCCAAGGGTACAGACATTTTTTAAAAGAATCTTAATGGGACAGAGAATTGAGAAAAGAATTTACTAGCAGCCACCTAGCTTTCTGTGCTTTTTCTCACTCTTTATATTATATATGAGGCTCCTCTAACAGGGTATGCAGGCATCCTAAAGAGGGGTTTTACTAATTCTGTGTATCACCATTTTTTCCTCTTCCTCCCCCTCCTCCTCCACATGGTCTTCCTCTTCCTCCTCCTTCTCCTCTGCTTCTTTGAGAAATTATTTTAGGTAGCAAAATATTGCCAGTCAGTACTGTTTTGAGGTAATGATTTTTAATTAATTGAAGCTAAGAGTTCCAATAGTAATTTTTAAAAGACATGGTTTATTAGAATAATTTTTTAGAATAATCTTTAGAAGTAAGTAGAATAATTCTTTATATACTACTTCCTACTGAGTAGGTTATCCAGCTTACCAGATTTTATTTTAATTATCTACATTTATGAAATTCTTACTTTGTTCTTCTTCAGTTAACTTATTTAATCACCTAAAGACAGCCCTGAGGAGGTAAGTTATGCCTTAGTGAAGTCAAATAATATCTACCAATTGGAAAAAATTGGAATCAAACCTAAACATTATGCTATACTGCCTATACTTTTAGAAGTTATAGTTTTAAAAAATCAATTATTTCATCTTGAGTCTGCTTAAATTAATGAGTTACGACTTACAGAATAAAAGTAGTCTTTATCAAGTTCCTGCATAGTATGTGTAATAAATGCAGATATCAATAGGTACTAAAATATGAGGTGATTCAATAAAAGTAACTTATAATAGCTTATACTAATAAGATAGTCTCTAAAACATTTGAGAATTTATTATCAATACAGTAACTGAAACTACCAAAGGAGTTCTTGAATTTTTGAAGTCTTAAGTAGTAAGCAGGGAAGTCTACCTAATTTAGTATGTATTCTTCTTATTTGTAAAACCTTGAATATATATGTTAGAATAACTTAAATTCAGTCTGCATCAGGAGGCTTCATTGGATGACAGCTTTTCCTCCATGACATGAACTGCATTTTGTTTTTGTTTCAGCAACAAGCCCTCCCAGGGTTGTAACATTTGACGAAGTGATGGCTGCAGCAAGGAACTTATCAAACATGACACTTGCTCACGAAATTGCTATAAATGAGAACTTTCAATTGAAACAAGATGCCTTCCCTGAGAACAGGTAACCCAGAGGTGTTTGTTATGTGTAAACTGAGCTGCAGAGTCTCACACATACACACACGTTCACACTGATTCCTGTAAGTCTTGTATAATAGCCACCGGGAGTAAACGTTGGTTAGGTCTCTAGCAAGGTCTTATACTTGTTTTTAAAACCATTCCTCAAGGGTACATGTTACCCATAATCTTTAGAACTCAGCTTATATGTCACTTCCTGAGGGAAGCTTTTCCTGACATTCCTGAGCGTACTAGATTACATTAAATCCCCTTCCTAAAGACTCCTGTTGCCCCCGTACCTCCTTTTTGTTAGGAGGGCTTATAATTTTATGTTCAATGTCTGTCTTTCCCATGTGACCAAAACACCATTAATGGAGGAACTATGTCTATATCGTTTGCTGCTGTATCCCCATTACCTAGCAGAATACCTGACATTTAGTACATGCTCAAGAAATGTTTGCAGCTCGACTTCTTTTTTTTTTTTTTTGAAGATTTTATTTATTTATTTATTTGACAGAGAGAGAGAGAGACAGAGAGGGAACACAAGCAGGGGGAATGGGGAAGGGAGAAGCAGGCTTCTCGCCGAGCAGGGAGCCTGATGCGGGGCTTGATCCCAGGATTCTGGGATCATGACCTGAGCCGAAGGCAGACGCTTAACAACTGAGCCACCCAGGCGCCCCTGCAGCTCGACTTCTTAAAAACTGATACTCAGGTTGTAAAAGATAAATAAATGTAGTGGAGCTGCCAAAGTGCTAATAGGTGATTCAGAAGCATCTGGAGGTAGGAATCACAACTACATGGGCACCCCGGTTAACCTCACACACCCCCCCAAACCCCCAACCCAAGGACCTCTAGTTAGAGCCATGCCCTTATATCCTACCTCAGCCTCTCTAACTTTGGCGGCTCATAAATCCTCTGGGACAAAGAGGAGAAAAGGCTTGAGGCCATAACTACAGATAACTCATCTTTACAGGCAAAGTTAGCTCACGAATAATGGCATTGAATCTTCAACCTCACAGTGTCATTTATAAATCCAGAGGCATTTCCTCTATCAAGTAAGACAAAATATAATATTTGATTCTATTTAGAGCTTTTGTGTTTATTTGTTTTAAAGCAGGAAAGTAGCAAACATAATAATTCTTCTTCTTCGAAATGTGGATCATAGTCCTCCTGCTCCTGGGGTTATTATTCATAATAATCATTAATATTTTTTAAGATTACTGGCCAAAATAGGTATATCTGTTTGGTTTTCTATGGTAACTGCATTTCACCATAATCCTTTATACCGGCTCTACTGCTACGCTCCTAGGCCAGGCCACCGTCATCTCTGACCTCGACTCTTTAAGTCCTAACTAGTTGCCCTGTCTCACAGCATCCTTAGCTCCCCATAATCCATCCTCCATATCCACACGTAGCCAGAATGATCTTTCTAAAGGATTAATCAGAATAGATCCCTATTTCTTTGCCTAAAATCCTTCAATGATTTTTCTGTTACACTTAGAGTAAGAACTCAAACCCTTTAGTATGGCAGCAAGGCCCTACTTCCAAGACCATGTCTCTTACTCCTTTCCCTCCTGCTTGCTACGCTTCAGCCACCCTGGCTTCATTGCCTACCCCAGAATACACCAGCTCAATCCTGTTCAAGGACTTTGTCCTTCTTCTTTCTGCTTTTTCAGTGTTGTTCCCCTAGATTTTCACCGGCTGATTTTTTGTTCCTCCTTCAAGTCTCAACTCAAAGGGCAATGTGTTAGAGAAGCTTTCTTCAGCCACCAGTGAAGTTAGCACCCTCTCCATCACTATCTACCACATTATTCTCTCTTCCTTATGTTTCTGAAGTTGCCTTATTTATTTTTAATGTGTTTTGTTTTTGTCTTCCTGTCCCTGCTAACAAATAGGCTTTTTGAGAGCAAACACTTTCTTTTTACTATAGTAACCACAGTACCTAAAATAGGGTCTGGCCATATTGGACGCCTTATAAACATTTTTGACTGACTAACGAAAATGAATGTTTGAAGTTAAAATTAGTGTGTTTTATGAAGTACAGCAAAAGACAATTTGAAAGTATTTATACTTTAAATTCAAAAGTTGCAAATACAGGCATTAGTGAAGGCACTTTAGGATCAGATAGGCTCTGGGTTTGAATCCTGGCTCTGCTGAGACCATTTCTGAGCCTCATGTTCCCCAAGGATATCATGGGAGCTAAAATGCTCACTTCAAATGCATGCTCATGGGCATCTGAGTGCCTTGAACATAAGTATTTTGGTAACATGGGAAATAGGAATGCTTCCTTCCTTCATTTTCTGCCATAGCTGGAAAATGTGAGCAAGGAAAGCAAAATGCAAACTTAGGACAATTACCTTTATTTAAAAATGAAATGGCATATTATGACCCGTTGATTTTTCAGATGACTGTCCACAAATGGCCAAGTTGTTACTTTTAAAAATATCACTGACTCTCATATTTAACCAAATCTTGTTTTTGGGGGAAAAGACTTGGCAAAATATGTCCAATTTCTGGTACCCAGTAGGAACACCTGTAAATGATTTGTTTGATCTCATCCTTCCCCACCATCCACCAGAAGATTAAAAGGCTAAAAAGTATCTTTCAGCCTTTAGGAGAACTTACATTTAAACTCTGATATCCCTGCAGGAGCTCTAAAGTTGTTGTAGCTCCTTCTTGGTTGGTCCGTTCGAGCCAACTATGTGAGGCTTGTAAAGTCCAGAGTGAAAGTTCATGCCTGCAACGTTTGCCTTTCTAATTGTTCTGTAGTTGCTCAGGAGGGTCAACTTTAGAAATAGCATTTATGTTGAATGAAACTAGTCAGGCAACCAGAGTAAGTTTTAATATTTAAAGTTGCTGAGTAGAATATAGCATTTGCAGTTACAGAAACAATTTTAACTCATACCCCTCAGAAAGCTAATTTTAATTTCTCATAGCATTATTGTATGTTTAGCTATTTATATTCCAAAAAGAAAAATTAGATGTACTTAACTATCAAATTATTAATTCATTCACCATGCATTCATCAAATACTCACTGTATGTCAGGTAGTGTGCTAGGTACAGTGGCAGGTACTTAGAAGAAGAAGTAGTTATGGCCTCGGCCTGGGAGAGATGTATAACCTTTAGGGGATGGAGACTCATAAGTACAGTGCAGGGAAATATGTGCTTTTCTTAAAACTGTTGCCAAATGTAGGAGGTCAGTAGGGATGTGTATTTAAATGTGCACCTATTTTAGGGCATTGACATAAGCGGCGAAGCAAAGTGGCCACCTACTCTATTGTGAGCTCTTCCTAGGAAGGTTCGTATTTCAGCAGTTTGGTCCGGCTAATTTTAAATGGGACATCTCAACTGCAGTTGGCAGCAGTTCACATGCATGTCTCCTTGGGGCTAATCTGTTCTATTCTGTGCAATGAAACTTCAGCTGTTGACGAAAAAGCTACTTTGCCATCTCACTCCCAAAATCTAGAACAAGTCTAAAGATCTAAAGAGTAGCTGGGTAAATTATGGCATCTCCTTAAGACAGAATTTTATGAACTTATTGAAACCTATAGCAAGAAAGCATTTTTAAAATCTAGGGGAAACTCAGGACAGAATATTAAATGAAACGAGTATATAATATACCTACTGGTTATCCTCAACTATATTAAAACAATGCATTGAACCAGAGAAATATGTCAAAAGATTAAAAATGAGATTTTGGGCCATTTTTATTCTGTTTTTTTTTTCTGCATTTTCTAAGATTTCTACAATGAGCACATTTCTTTTATAATCAGGAAAAATAATGCTTATTTTTAAAAGCAATTCATTTCCTTTCTGTAGCTTAGCCAGTCGAGTGAAGCACATTGTCCACCAGGCCTTCTGGGACGTCCTGGAGTCAGAACTGAATGCTGAGCCTCCCGAGTACGAACATGCCATCAAACTGTTTGAAGAAATCAGAGAGGCAAGTTGATGTTGTCTGTATTGATTAGTAATGTTTTTTTCCCTAAAGACTGTTTTCCTGTCCTCCGAAGAGTATTGGAGATTCTTTTTGGAAAATTGAGTAAGTTCAATCACTGGAATGGTGTTTTCCGAAATGCACTTCCTGGGATGGGGTGGAGGCTAGGCAAATAGGGCAGTGGAAGGAGCACAGGGCAATGCTTGGCACACAAAGTAGTGGTCACAGTAGTTAAGAGCACAGACTCAGGAGCTAGACAACCTGGTTTAGTGACGGGTTTAGCAAAGGCTTTCCCTCCATGAGTCCTAGTGTCCTGAGTACTTGCAGGGTAATTGTAGGAATTAAATGATATGACAGTTATAGTTTTAGCTAACATTCACAAAGCATTTGTTCTATGCCAAACACTAGATTATTCATTTATTGTTACCACAATGAAGTAGTTATTCCTGTTATTCTTACTAAATAAAAAGAAACCAAGTTCCCTTACTCACCCAAGGTCACACAGCTTTGAGGGGTAGAGAGGGACTTGAGCTGAGGTGCTCTGGCTCAGAGCCCATACTTCTAACCATGTGCTGTGTATGTAAGCACAATGTCTGCTTAATGGTGGATACTCAGGATAGGTTGCTTGTATAATATATAATAAATATTTTATATGTAAAATATACGAATGGAGCCCATGGGGTATTTCCATTTGTTCTTCTTTAAAGGGTTCTTGTGGAGCTATGATCTGCAACTTGTTCTTTCTTTGCATGGTTTAAATGTAAACTTTTTTTTTTATTATGTTATGTTAATCACCATACATTACATCATTAGTTTTTGATGTAGTGTTCCATGATTCATTGTTTGCGTATAACACCCAGTGCTCCA